AACTACACCACATATACCAAAGGATTCATAGCCAGCTCCGGTATACTCAGCATGTCGTCAGCATTTATAAATCCCTTGTTGGCCTTATCTAAGCGTTTGAATCTCTTGTACAACATCCTCAATTGGCTAGGTTTAAACACCGAGATCATTCTTAGTTCAGCAATGTCTGCGTCTGTTAGTCTCGCAGCAGTACCACCTTTTGAGAATACCACGCGCGCCTGCCAATAGAAAACTGCGGTACACATCACTATACCGAATATGGTCCAGAAACCTGATAGAACATCGCTTTCAGATTCCATGATGTATTTATTGTGTATAGTGTTTGTATCCCAATATGAACAATTTATGTGTGTACATTGGCTTTCAGAGTTTACGTGCTCCTATTACTAGAGAGAGATATACGCCCTTCTCCTTTTCAGGATAAATACATCACACGAATGCTAAATATGTTTATTATATACACATAGTTGGGACTTGTTCTCGTTGTTCATGACCAATCCCCAGTCCCTCTATTTAGTCCCCACCTTCAAAACGTCAAGAGTATGGGTGACGGGGACTCTTAAACAAAAGTTGAACGTAAACGTTTATTATTGCATTACTTTTTCCCGTTCATAAAGGTTTAAACACGCTCAAATGACCTGGAACCCTGCACAGTGAACACAATCGATATCAGCTTACTCACATATAAGTAGTAGTTAAACGTAAACGTAAATATATATTATGGTTTAAAACACGTAACGTTTGGCGCTCACTTGTAGGCTCTTTGAACTATAAATTATACACCTACGGGCCCACGAGTCCACCCACAACTGTGAAGTGTGAATTGATTTTAGTGAAGTGTGAACATACCACTGACTTCAGTGAACACTGTGGGTATGTATCTAAATAGATGGTGTCCCAGGTTATGTACTTGACACTGGACTCATCTTGCATGAGCTATCACACGAGAACCTGGTGGGAACACCGGACATTCACACTCTGATGAGGGATTCTTTACAGGTTGATTGCAAACAGATTAGGCTGTGGGGGGCCGTGGACGAGGCATGTGCGGGAATGCCAGGCAACTGGTCATTAACTGTAAATCAATACTAAAGGCGTAAGAGAATAATACATCTGGTATCGGAAATTTACTGATTGTACCTGACAAACTATATGAATCGGTCGACCAGCCTTTTAGCTGAACTATTTTTCACAGGAGCGTGTCTATTATGACCCAATGGGTTATGTCAACTTACAGAATTCACCATACATAGGATTGCTTAATATGTGCAACGTAATGTAAGGCGTTGATATCTAGTATTAGCTCGACAAGGCGCCGAGGACACCTATATGTATATATATATATATATATATATATATATATATATATATATATATATATACACACACACACACACACACAACTA